GGCTGACCTAAAGCAAACTGTGCTTACAAGCTGCCATCAGGGAAAACGTCGATCTTTCCCTCCAACTTCATTGATATTCAGAGGGAAAACAGATTGCAGACCACTGGGGGTTCTGGGGAAGGACGCGACATGCCACAGCCGGCACTGGCGCTGGGAAAAACCCAACTGCTCTGCCTCAGCTGCTTAGAGAGACTTGGAGAAGGGAGCGCGGCTGGGCAGGGGCAGCGTAGGCAAGGATGGGCATCTATTTTGAGATTGTCCTTAGGCCAATAAACGGCAGCAATGAGCAGATGAACACTGGCTCAGAGCGCCCGCTGCCATCTGTCCCGCCTCTCCGTAAGCACAGCCAAGACCTGAGGACAAACAGGTTTGCTCTTCGGGGGGTGCGATGGGCGTCCGGAGAACAAATGGGCTCTTGTTCTCTCTGACAGCAGCCTTTCTACCACGTGAAGCTGTTTGTGTGTTCGTGGTGACGCCCAGCCTCACCCAACACGCACCGCAGGCAAAAAAGGAAAGCGTGCGGGTTGCGTGTTATGAAATCCCGGTGTCAGGAGATGCCGCGGGGCACGGCTAGTGCTTGAAAGTAAATGTCATCCCAGCACTTTGGGTGTGTGCTCGGAAAACTCATCTGCCAACTGCCTCGTTAGGTGTTTGTCCATGGGTGTAACAGGGGCACGACTGGCTGGAGGGAGGCAGAGAGGTTTGCGTGCTCTCCAGAGGGACCCTGGGACAACTGCCTGGGAAGGAGGGAGCCGTCGGAGCGGCGAGGCTGGGCAGGGCTCTGCTCACCCCCGAAGGGCTGGCCGAGCCCTCGGGGTGCCGATGGAGCCACAGCCCAGCACCTCCTCCCGCGCAGCTCGGCCCAGCCAGCGCGGGAGGCAGAACCCCGGGAAATCCTGGTGCTTCGCAGCGGTGGGACAGGCTGGAGGGGCCGACGCACCTCCCTGCTTGTGCGAGAGGCGGCAGGACAGGGCAGAGCGCTGCCGCTGCCCTTACCAGCGTTGTGAGCTGCTGTGCAACACCAAGATTTATCTAACACTTACCTACAAGCCCGGCTCCATCCTGCCGTAAATCAGGAGGGACTCGAGGGAGCCGGGGAGTCAGAGAGGTGTGACGGAGAACGGGTCCCTGGAGCTGCTTTGCTCTGGCAGCGGAGGTTGCGCTCGGAATGAGACTCCACTTTAATCAGAAACTAGATTAAAACAAAGCAAGCGGCAGATGTTACAGGGCAGGGGCTGCAGAGCCCCGCAGCCCCATCCTGTGCCCGAGGCTCGCTGTCACTGCAGCCAGCTGGCCTGGGCACGGAGGACAGCACAGACCTGTTCTCAGCAGCGCTAAATCCCAATTTTCATCACTACATACTGGTAACGCTGGACCGGGCTGGAGCTGCACTCACGGGCCGGGGTGCCCAGGCGCAGGGAGGGCTCCCAGGCGGTGCCGCAGCTGCAGCATCCCGAGGGCCCTTTGGGGTCCCGTTTACGCGTCCGACTGAAGTCCCCAGGGGCTCACGCAGGCCGGAGGCCGCCTGCCTTTTTTCCGAGCGGGTGGGGTTTAACCAGTTTTTCAGCAGGTCGGTTTGCTTGCCAATGAGCTGTCGCCTTCCCCTGCAGCGCCCTCGCCGCAATGGCAAGCGAGGGTTCACCACCGTGGCCACAGGCTCTCATGAGCCCGGTCTACTTGCGCACGTGGCAAGCGTGGCTCTTGGGCTCGGCCCTGAAGGCGTTTTATGCTGATGCTGCGCGCGTTTCGCATACACCCCTTAATCCCCTGTCCCTTACCTGGAGGGCCTGCCTCAGGAAAGGAGCCCGACGCAGATCGCTGCTGTGACTTTTCCGTTACCTCTCCCAGGGCGTGCCCCGAGCACAGCATTTCGTGGGAATGGCTCAGGGGAGGGCTATAAGGTGGTTGGTCTCCCTGACTTGGGAAATCCTCTCTGCCCAATGCTGGGAATATAAACTTGGAACCACAGGAATATAAAGAGCAGAAAGAGCAAGCAGATAACCCCAAAACCATGTGAATAAATACTTCCATGGCTCTGACATGCCTTTTTCTTTCCTTTTCTTTTTCTGCTTCCCGAGGCTGGTGACTTCTGGTCTGGCGGTGTCCTTGCCAGCGGTTCCCATCCCAGGAGAGGGGATATGGGAAGGCCGAGCACCCGGAACGACACTGGGGCTGCACAGGGAGGAGGGATTGAGAGTTGTGGGTCTGACCTGAGGAAGACTCCCGCGTCACCCCTGAAACAAAACGCCGCCCAGCACCCAACCGGTAGCGTTTTGCCTCTGAGGACCATCTCCTCCTGTGCCCAGAAGCAAGCGGAGCCTGGCGGGGGCTGATTGCAGCTCTTTTCCGAAAGAACAAGACGAGGATCCAGCTTTCAAGTTCCAACAGGGCTGCTGCCTCCCGGGGCCCCTCAGGAACGCACCAGAACTTGTTCCGAGAGCTTGGGATACTGGAGATGAGGACTGAGCTTCATTACAAAATGTATCTTATGAGGACACATACAAAACTGGTTGAAATTAAGGCTTTTAAACACTATGCTCTGGATAATAAAGACCTAGCAGGCCTCTTTGCTGGTAACAAATCCCAGATAGTCATGTTCCTACCAAGTCAGGGTACCGATTCCTGGATCCGTGTTTCTCTACAGAGCAGAGGTACTGTGCATGTTTTCATTAAGCAGGATTTTGGTTTGGACCCACAGCGGTCTTACAGCAGCGACCCCAGCCAAACTACTCCCTTCCATCACCGAGGTATGCTGAAATACCGCAACACCTCAGCTTCCAGTTGCAGAAGGCACAGGCACGAACCTCCCGCGGCGTGGGAGGTTTGAAGTCCTGCGGAGTTCAGGACCCTCGCCCTGCTCCGGCCGGGAAAAGAAACGTACCAGAATGAGCACGAGGCAGAATGAACACGAGACCCAGGTTCGGCCTTCCCAACCGCCAAATTCGGGGAGCAAATCTGACAAGCGGTACAGAAACCGCATCCCACCCTCCAGCCCCCGAGAGAAACACCATTCC